AATTATTGAGTTCATATGGAGATCTGAGCACAGTTTGAGATATTGTTGAGATCTCTTTTGGGACTTCCTCGCTACTTCAGCTGGAATCTCCATTTGATCGTCTCATTGCTGTCGGAGATTCAGTCTTCTTGCTGTAGAACAGATTTTTTAAATACAATTATGTTAATAAAAGTTATATGGACATATGCCAAACATTTGGAATATTATTTAATATTTTTTAAATAAATTTAAATGCTCACCAAAGCTGCATTTATTTGATTGAAATAATGCAGTAAAAACAGTAAAATTGTAAAACATTATTACAATTTAAAATAACTGTTTTCTATGTGAATATATCGTAAAATGTCATTTATTTCTGTGATGCGCAGCTGTATTTTCAGCATCATTACTCAGTCTTCAGTGTCACATGATCTTCAGAAATCATTCTGATTTGCTGCTCAAGAAATGTTTCTGGTTATTATCAATGTTCAAAACAGTTCATCTGCTTCATATTTTTGAAAGTGTTTTTGAAAGTGTGAAAGTGTGGCACTGCCATTTTTAGCCAAAATGAATGCTTTTATTCAGCAAGGGCGAATTAAATTGATCAAAAGTGACAGTAAAGTCATTTATGTGACAAAACATATCTATTTCAAATAATTGCTCTTCTTATTTTTTTTTAAATCCTGAAAAAAATTTATCATGGTTTTCACAAAATATTTTTTCATCATATAATAATCAGAAATGTTTCTTGAGCAGCAGATCAGCATATTATACTGATTTCTGAAGATCATGTGACACTGAAGACTGGAGGAATGATGCTGCTTTGATCACAGAAATAAATTACATTTTAACATGTATTCAAATAGAAAACGGTTATTTTAAGTTGTAATAATATTTAAAATTGTTACCACGTTTTTGATCAAATAAATGCAGTCTCGGTGTAAAAAAAAAAAAAAAAAAAAAAAAAAAAGTGAATAAAAAAATTATAATAATAATTTTATGTAGAAACATTTTACAAAAGGCACTTGAGCTTATGTAGTATTACGAATTGATTCATGCCGCCGCATGTCATGCTTTACAATCTCTCGTCTCGTGTTGCTCATGTAGATCAATTGTCCATTAAGGAAACAGTGGGAACATGGAAAGTGGCGTAAATCTCTTTAGGGACTGTGAAACAATGAGTCCAGCGAGGCATTTCCTGCGATAAGCGTCTACTTAAGCCCGGCGCTGCTTTTATTTTGGCCCCGAGTGCTCCAGAGTAAACCAGATGCCTGCTGCCAGGGACAAAGACGAGAGCGAGTTGATCGCTGTAAGCAAAATATATCAGTTTCCAGACAATAAATGAATGCTGCACTAAATAAAACATAGGAAACGCTCTGCTTTATGAAATATTAGCCTCACTTCGGTGGCATGAAACCTACCAGGCATGAGATTTGTCATATAAATGAATGTTTTCACATGGCCAAGCATGTCTTTACTGGTCATTTGTCAGGTTTGGACTCTTTTCAGGTGTTTTAATGTACATATACTGAGAAATTCTAACAGTTAAGGCTGTTTATGTATAAATGAAAGTTGTAAATAAATGACAAATAACAGGATATCTTTATATTAACAGATGGTCTATATTTGTTTGTATGTGTTAAGGTTTTTTTTTTAAAGACAATAATGATATGTTAAGCTATGGATGCTCGTTTCTGCAATGGAATAAAAAAAAATGAACAGGTAATTGTGACTTTTTATTGCACAGTTCACACTTTTCTTCTCACACGTCTGAAAATTGTGAGACGTAAACTCGCAATTCAGTTTTTTTTTCCAGGTAATGCTGCATTTGTTATCTCCCAGTTCTGATTTGTTTTTCTCAGAAAAAGTCATAATTGTGAAAAACAAACTTGGAATTGCGAGAAAAAGTCAGAATTCTGAGAAAAAAGTCAGAATTTCAAGATATAAACTCAGAATTCCGACTTTTTCTCGCAAT